TCAGTGATGGACATTAGATGGACATTAGATTGGTTCAACACGTACAGTTGACAGATCCTCGTTGCCTGCTCCTTATCACGTGTAATCCTTGAGAGGCTTAACATATGCTGTTTAATAATTTCATTCTGTATCTTTTCAGGCATAAAAGTCAGTCTGACCAACGTATTTCCCTTCTCCCTTCTAAATGTCACACGCTGTGTCTCATCCTGCTCCAGTCCACAAGGACTTCACCTGTGCCCATATGTTTTCTGAGGTCAGAGATGACTGTGACTAGTTCCTTATGTATGCCAAGGTAAATTTTATCACACCTCAACAATTTGAGTATTTTCTTAATCTAGACATTCCTGGACAGACAGACTTATTTCTTTTTCTAGGCTTACGCATCTAGGCAGAACTCATTTTGTGCGTTAATCTGCTTGATTTTTCTCTACATATTTGTGTTTTGCTCTACGTTCATCTTTACACATCCATCTTTGATGTATAGCAACGCTGCATTATTCCCTTTTCCCAGGCTCTTCCTTCTATACTGACATTACTGTCCTGTGCTGTCTCACCACTCTGCACCTTCTCACTCTTCCCCGAGGTTTTTATCCAGCCTTCTTGTTTCTTCCCCTTGGTTTTTTGTTGCTAGTCCTTTAAAACAGGAAATAAATCTCTCTTTACTGGACAGGTGCATCAGGGTCCTTGAAGATTCTTCCTTCATCAAATGAGGTCCCACTCTGGACAACCATGCTGTGAAGCGAATCGAACTTGAGCCTTCCCTTCTGCACCTCTTGCACACACAGATGTATTTATAGAATCCCAGAATGGTTTGGGTTGGAAGGGACCTTAAACAGCATCCAGTTCCAACTCCTGCCATGGGCAGAGACACCTTCCACTAGACCAGGTTGCTCCAAGCCCTGTCCAGCCTGGCCTTGGACACTTCCAGGGATGGGGCAGCCACAGCTTCTTTGGGCAACCTGTGCCAGGGCCTCTCCACCCTCACAGGGAAGAATTTCTTTCCAATATCCCATCTAACCCTGCCCTCTGGCAGTGGGAAGCCGTTCCCCCTTGTCCTGTCACTCCAGACCGTTGTCCAAAGTCCCCCAGTTCTCCTGGAGCCCCTTTAGGCACTGGAAGGGGCTCTAAGCTCTCCCCAGAAACTTCTCTTCTCCATGCTCAACAACCGCACCTCTCTCAGCCTTTCATTTACCCCAGCAGGGATGTACCTGGAGCTCAGAGAATGGCCAGACATGGGTGTTCCAAAAAACCTTTTGGAGCACAGAATCCACACCATTGCATCCGGCAGGGAAGGCCAGGGAGCTCAAGGTGTCCAGGAGCCAGCAAAGGCTTGAAATGAGCAGTGGGCACCTTCTTCCTGCGCAAAACTTCCTGTATGCGATTCATCCAGATTCCAAAGAGGGAAACACCAGATCTTTTCATTAAGTGGAACACTGCAAGGAACAAAACAGAGGTGTCACATCTGGAAAAGGAAAGCAGATGGAGGTTTTTGATGTGCGGTCAGCAAGTGTTGCCAAGGTGAGAAGAGCTGCTGTAGTTTGATAAACAGATCCAAAACATTTAATATGGGTCAGTTCAACATGACACTTCTATGTCTCTGGTGCTGTACTGCCTCACTAGTGCTGGGGTTCTGAAGCCAAAAATGCTCAGCTCACTCCTGAAGTCACCTTCTAAGTCCGTGGATGATGCAGAGCAGAAGTGTCAGGGATGCCAGGAAGAGCTGAGCTGTGGCCATCAGGAATGTGGCAGCTCTGCTGTGGCAGAGCAGAGATGAGCACCTAGGTGATGATGGTGATGAGCGGGAGCTCACCAGCCCTTGGCAGTAACAGCAAGGTCAGGGATGCCAGAAAGCACCAGTGAAAATCTTCTCTGGGGAGATAAGCAGTTTGGCAGGAATTGCTTCTGCAGGCCATGGCAGCTGTCATCAGGGCTTTGCTCATCCTCAGGGATTGTTATCCCTTTGGATTTGTGCATGAGCACATATTGCTCCTGTGGCTGTCAGGCCAGGAGTCAAGTGAAGTACAGGTTTGAAATCTCCATGGCGTAGGGGAAGTGAAGTGTCCCAGTGTACTCACCGGGTATCCCAGGACACCCCAGCTGCTGGGGTTGTTGGCAGACCCTCCATGGAGAGGGTATAGGTGGCTGGGCAGTGCCTCAGACTGGTGGGTAGTGCTTTGCCAGCCAGACGAGAAAGGAACACTGGTTATTGTTCAAGGATGGGATCCCGGAGCCTGCCTACGTCAACACGCTGCCTGCAGCCTGCTTGGGTCACCAGGATGGACTAGGGAAAGTAGAAGTGTCAAGAAGCAAGTTTGCATTCCTCTGGACCACCTGGAGCTCAGGCAAGACCTCCCCTTGGCATGGATATGGGACTGTTCAGTGTTGTCCTTTATTTTCCAGAGTCACCAGCAGGAGCTTACACGGATCAACAGGCAGGGAAGGCAGGGAGCAGGTAGCACCAAGCAGCGATTGATGTTCTTCAGAGACAGTTGGCACTGTCTCTGGGCTGCAGGACTTGTCTCCCACTGGTTTGAAGCTACAAGGAGGGCTCATAGGACAGGACTCAAGTCTGGGTCAGTGCCCAGTCCTATCATGGCTCAGCTGATGGAGCAGGAAACACATCTTCTCCCTGGCTATGGGCTCATGCTGGGGTCAAGGGGGCTGACAGGAGCTCTAGGCTGGGGTGGTCCTGAGGAACTGGAGCAGTGCTGGCAGGGGGGTGAGTGGAGAAACCCTCTGTGTCAGCTGTGGGGGGTCCAACCGGCCCCAGGGGTTGAGGCTGGGTCACGGGGCGAGCACGAGGAGATGCGGCAGGAGCTCCATGCCTGTCTCTCAGAGGACTGGTGGTGTGGGTGGGACCTCCGAGGCTGTCAGAGCTGGCTCCTGCTCTTTTGCAGGTGGCGATGCCTTTTTGTGTTTCTGACATAATTGCACTGGCGTAACAACGCTGATGAGGCTTTTTTTGACAGTGCTTCCTACTTGTGCTGAAGGCTTTCCGCCCCCTCACTGCAGACGGGTTTAGGCTGCACGAATCTGAGCATGATGCTTGGGAGGAATCCCTGGAAGTGCTGCACTCTGCCTGCCAGACCAACCCTGCCCTCGCTGGGCCACATGGGCTCCCTGCTCCCAGCACAAGGGCACAGGCCAGGTTTTGACAAGTCCTTGTGTCCTTGATACCCAGAGGAATGACAATATTGTTGCTCCAACACTTTCAGGTCCTGGTCCTTCTCTCTCCTTGCAGCCCCTGGCAGCGCTGCACAGCCCTGGTCCAGGTGGTGGCTGGCACTGCCATGTCCACAGGCTGAGCTGGGCCCGGGTCCTGGGCCATGGGCCTGGCTGTGCTGGAATAACCTAGCACAGAGATTTCCCCAGTGATGCTTAACTTCCTCTCAGAATACCTGTTGCATGTTCTGTCAAGGTGCCCCAATGCATCTCAGTGCACATGAGGGCCAGCAACTGGGGGAAAAGGGGCTGTGAGCAAAGGCTGCTCTGCTCATGGCATCAGCCCAGCAACACAGCACTGAGGACTGGTCTCCCATGGCCAAACTTTCTGGCACCTAGGCATGGCAGGGGAAGTTGCCCAAATGGAGTGGGATGTGTTTCCTGTTCCCCAGTAAATGAATGGGAGGGAAATGAGGTAGTAGCAAACCCATTCCCGCTGCATCACTCCTCAGCTGGGCTCCTGTGGGTTGCAAAATACAGGTCCCATCCCTCACTTCTCCCTGGAGGGCTCAGCTTTGAATGGCTGACAGCTGCTGACAGAGGGGGATAGGGAAGATCTCCCCCAGGAAGCAGGGAAGGGTGCTGCTCCATTAGGCCTTTGGGAAGGCTGCGCCAGACCAGTGATGCCAGAAAGCTGCTCACTGGTCCAGCCTGGGCTGCACATCTCAGGTCTTGCCTCTTGAGTTTTGGGGCCACTCAAGGCTGGGTGTGCACCTGAGCTGTGCAGCCCCAGATGCTTCCCAGTGAGTGAGTCAGGAGAGGAAGCAATCACCTTTGTGGTGGGATGTCTGATGAGTCAGAACTTCTGTAGGCTTCTCTTCAGACCCACTCTGGGCAGCTGTGACATCCAGGGCCCAGGAAGCAGGACAGGCATCAGGGGAGCTGAGACATCTGGAGGGAGGTGGCAAAAGGATGATAGGAGGCATGTCAGCTCATCCTTTTGTTGCCATTCATAATCCTTCACTTCCCCACTCTGCCACCAGCTCCTGGGATGCAGAGGCTGGGCCCCCACACTGACACTGCAGCCCTCTCCGCACCCAGAAAGCTCCCATGGGGATGTGACAACCTGGTTAGACCAGCGACATGCCATCTGCTGCAGATCACTTGTAGCTCAGTGGGACCTGGAACAGGAGATGTGCCCCAGCAGAGCCTTGCCAAGGAGGCACATTTTACTGGACTGGAAGTGCTATGAAAATTGGTAAAGACGACAGAATCTGGCCAAAGGCTTGTCTGCTGCGAAGTTCAAATGCTCAACTTAGAATTACAGAATTGTAGAATCTTCTGAGTGGGAAAGGACCCACAAGGACCATTGAGTAAAACTCCTGGCCCTGCACAGGGCATCTCAACAATCCCAATGTGTGCCTGAGAGCGTTGTTCCTCATTTCGTGAGGAAATGCAGAGTTTGGGTGGAGGGAAGCACTCGATATTGAAGGATCCACTTAGCACCAAGCAAATGACAAAACACTGACATTTTGACCCTAGAAGAAACAGAAAACTAATCCCAGATTGAAATGAAATCACTAAAGGGGATGCTGAGTCAGAATTCAGGTTTATGGCACCTCCATGTTACTCCGGTGTTGTAGGACTCTGCTTTCAGGAACCTGAACCTGCTTTTCTCACGAGTCCTGCACTCATGTGGTCCTCTCCTTCCCGCTTTCCTCACAGTTTTACCAAGTTCCCCTTGATTCCTGGTGGTTCCTCTCCCACTGGTACCTCCAATCCTCACTGGAGCTCCCGGGGTAAATATAGAAATAACAAACACACCATTTGCTTGTGATTTCTGTGGGTTTACTGTTTAAGCATTTATTCTATGTAATGTCTCTTAGTTTGGGTTGCACTTAGAAGCCTTGGTGATAAGATAAAAAAATCTTTTTGTGGGAATTTTCTAAGTTTAGAGAAACCCAAACACTGACAGGCTGAGAGAAGCATGGGGTGGCTTGGCTGGAGGCCTCCATGCTTGGTTCCTATTTTGCTGTCTTTCTTTACCGTCATCCAGCAACTCTCTCCTCACTGCCTCTTCTCTAGTTCCTGCCTCAGGTTCCCGTTCATCCCTTTCCTTTCTGGTTTTCCGGTTTTCCAATTACCAGTTTTGGCCTGAGCTGACAGCTTAGGGAAGAAAAGGTGAATGTTAGCCTTGTTCTTAAATCAAAACACGGTTTTCTAAAGTTCTGAAGGCAAACAAAGGCAATTTCCTTAGAAATCTAGATCCTTCCTCCTCACTGCAATACCCCTTGGAAGTGCTGGCTCCCAGTGTCCTCCATAGCCACCGAGTTCCCCCTGCCCATCACTGGCTCCTGCTCCCTCTGCTTCCCCCAGCAAATCCCTGGCCCTGGGAGCCTCAGCTCCAGGAGCTGAGCTCAGCACCTGCTGCACTGCAAGACCCAGGACCTGCAGCCATCAGCCCTTTCTGGACCACAATGGTTGAGAACTGCAGGTATCCAGAAATCCCAGCATCCTGAGGGCCTTCCTCTTCTCACTTTGTGTGTCCCATTCCCTTCCCCAGGCCCCTCCCCAGACCCAAGCACTGGATCTCCTCTCCATGATTCCTCCCATGGAAGGAGGAACCACCTCTTCCTCCTCACCGTCACCTTCTCTTCTTACCTTTGTTCCTGAAGCATCGAGTTGGAAGCCCAGTGGTACATCAGTAGTGGAGACTGTTTTAAGGTATCAAGTCACACAGGCCATGGCACGTGAGGATAGAAGCATGCAGGAGTCTTTTGTGAAGTCTGGCAAAAGCTGGGATAAATACCTCCTGCATCTGAAGAGCCAGGCAAGTTCTGCGAGGTGTGGTTGCTCTGACATGCTCAAGAACTTGTTTGATATAGCCTGACCTGTAAGAAAGAGCAAGAAATGTTGCTCTGCTGTGCCTTGGATGGACTTTCCACCCTCAGCACCAAGCTGAGACTGGAGAAAGACACTTACTTGGGCAGTGGGACATCTCCGTGGGGCTAAGGAAAGCCATGGAGAAACTCCAGAACTCTATAACCCATCAGTGCTGAAGGCAAGAGGGGGAAGGACTGAAGAGGGGACATCCAAGGAAGCTCCAGGCAGTGTCCCATTGCCCCTGCACTGTGCAATGGGAGCTGCAGGCTGTGCCAGTTTCAGCAGAGATTTGGTGGTGCCCAGCCTGGATCACCAGCCCCACAGGCAGAGCAGATGCCACTAAGACATTATAAGGCACCTCACTAACACTCATTAAGGTATATCCAACTCCTGTGAGGTATTGCTAATGGGCAGCAACAGAGGTGGGGGTGCACCAGTGGACACCACGCCAGAGTCCAGCCCTGAACGCCTCCAGTTCTCCCAGCCTGTCTCCATAGCAGAGGTGCTTCAGCCCTCAGGGCATCTCTGTGGTCCTTCCTCCTCTTTTTGCAGTCCGAGGAGCCTGCCCAGAGCCTGTCCAGCCATCCCTCATCTGCCAACGTGTGCCACTATTACAGCAAGGGAGAGCAGTGCAGATGGCATGAGGAAAACAGCAACATACACAATCTGGCCAGGGAAAGCTGATAGGAAGCAGAGTCCTTGGGAGAGCTGAGCAGAGCACCAGGTGGAGGTCCCTGCACCAACCGTGTTGGGGGATCAGAGAGAATGGTCTCCAGCTTGGAAATGCCCCAAGGCACACTTATAACATTTGTTCTTTCATCCCCAGCCCCTCCAAAGTCTGGCTGTGTGAAGCTTGTTGTGTTACAGCCAAGAGACTTCCTGCTGTAGCATCTACAGTCTGTAAAAATGAGGCTGTAATGGGGGATTGGGATCCCTCGACTTGGTGGGTGGCATAGCCAAGTCACTTCCCCCATCTGTGCATTGGTGTGTCCACCAGTAAAACAACAGGAGACACAACTCTGCCTGCCTTTCAAATGGATGGAAAACACCATCTCTGAGCTGTGCAAACACTGCATGTTCAAGACATATCCTATAGGGAGAAACACAGGAGCCTTTCTCTTCTCAGGACTGTTTCCCAAAGCAGGTGCTGAGTGTGTCTGGGGAAGCAGCCTGGGCAGCGGTCACGTTCCCAGCTGGAATACTGGGAACAGAGCAGTGCAGCACTCTCATCATAAAACTGTAGTCTACTCAGAGAAGGCTAAAAAACCTGGCAGGAAATTACAGGCATTACATGAGCAGACATGCCATTTGGAATACAGCCATGTTTGAGCAGCTATCAAAGCTGTCAGAAAACAGGGAAGAGTTAAACGTAAGATTGAATGAGAGTCCAGACAGAGAGAAAAAACAGAGGGAAATGGGAGAGACTCTGAGTGCCAGATGTCGGCTGTCAGAGTGGGTTCCCATGTGATAGGAAATACAATGACATGTCCAAATGGAGACTGTAAGCAAGGTAGGAAGGTCCAGTTTGCAGCCAAGAGGTGCCAGGCTGAGGGCTGGCTGTGCCCACTTGTTCCCCTGGCACTTGGCCACATTTTTAGTGATACTTGTTAATTTTTTTCCTATTAATCCTTGTCTCATTCCATGGATGGGGAGGACTTCCCCGGTGAGAAACCAAGGAGAGGGAGCTGCCCTTTGTCTGAAGGAGCAGCAGGAACGCATGGAGCTCTGCCCTGGGATGGATAATGAGTCAGTCAAGAGTATCCTGGTTGGAAGGCAAATTGATGTGCTCCTGGTGCTCAGGTGATGTACTCCTGAATGTCTGCTATAGACTTCCATATCAGGAAGCAGAAGATGAAGTTTTCTTCAGACACCTGGAAGAAGGCTCCTGTTTGCAGGGCATGGTCCTCATGGAGGACCTTAACGCCTGTGATACCGTCTGGAGGGACAGCACAGCAGGGCACAGGCAATCTGGGAGGTTTCTGGAACACTCTGGCAAGAATTTCCTAATGTGGGTGACAAAGATCCAAAGAGGGAAGGCACTGATAGACCTGTAAACCTGTTGAGGAATGTGAAGGATGAGGGCAGCCTTGGCTGAAAAGAACATGGCACGGTGGAGGTTAGAGTCCTGAGGGAAGGGAGCACAGAAAAAGGCAAGATCACAAACCTGGACTCAGGAGAGCAGACTTTGGTCTCTTGAGGGATCTGCTCGGAAGAGTCCACAGGATGCAGTCCTAGCTCTCTAGGTGTCCAGGAAACATGATTCAGGATCAGCTACTCCACTCCCCTCTGACAAACAGGTGTAATGCTGGGGCCTTTAGAACTGGCTCTGAGCCAAAGTTGACTTATAAGATGAACTCTTCAACCTAATATTATATCTAGCCTAGTATTGTATTTAGCCATATATCTGCTTATTAACCAAGATGCTATATAATCCTTAGTAATGCCTTAAGAATATACATTTATGCTTGTTAGCACAGCATGTTACCATTAATTAGTAAGACCTGTATGTGTTACAAATATGCCTTTTCTTTGCAGCCAAGGTCGTGAAAAATGGTAGGGCCTCACGTAGTCGTAGCTGGTTCATATTTGAGATATCAATGTAGCCGTAAGTTCTGTATTTAGTGACTAGTCAAGGCCACAGGGCATTTGACAGTAGATGGCCCAAATTGACTCCTTCAGTCTCCCTCTGCGCCTTGGCCAGGCCTAAGGGGAATACCAAGAGAGGAAGAAAGCCAGGTTGTTTTTCCGCACCAATTGAATGACGTCAGCTGGTTTGTTTAATATTATATAAGCTGGACTGTCTCACAGCAAAGATGGAAGCTTCACCTGCGGGTGGACACACTGCATAGAATTTCCCAGTTACTGGGAAGAGGTTCTTCAGACCTTCGCTGTGACAGGGGCCTTTCCAGCTGAAGTGTGATCTGGATGACGACAATTACTTAGTGTAACTGGTGAGGTATCTCTCTCTTAATCACTGTAAGTCTTTGTAGTAATGATTAGATGCATTGCTAAGTGTATCCTTTCATAAGTCACTGCTTCTTTTGTAATTCTTTACTGTCTTGCACTATAGTAAACTTTTACACTTATTCTTTAAAGTTGGTGTCTGTGCTCTTCAATTTATCCTGGTTACCAGGGGAGGGAGGGGGCAAAACAGATTGGCAAAACAGCAAGTAACCAAGTAAAAGTAGCAGGGGCTTGAACAAGGCACTCCTGACAAAACCCAGGCATAAAGAAGAGGTGTAGAAGAGGTGGAAGCAGGGAGGACAATGCACGGGAAATCCAACGACGCTGTCCAGGTGTGTTGAATGGGGTCAGGAAAGCCAAAGTCCACCTAGAGCTGAGTCTGGCAGGGAACAAGAAAGGCAACAAGAAAGGCTTCTACAGGTACACCAGCAGCTACAAAGGAGATGGAGGGACTGAAGCATCTTTCATATGAGGAAAGGCTGAGAGAGCTGCGACTGCTCAGCCTGGAGCAGAGCAGACTTGTGAGGGATCTTATTAATGGATATAAATAACTGAAGCTGGGTGCGAAGGGGATAGATCCAGGCTCTTTCCAGTGGTGCCCAGCACCAGGAGAAAAGGCAACAAGACACAAACTGAAATACAGAAAATCCTTCCTAAACAGTAGAAAGAGCTGTTTTACTGTGAGGTTGTTGAACACGGGAGTGGGTTGTTCAGAGGGGCTGCAGAATCTTCATCACTGGAGCTACTCAAAGCCCATCTGAAGATGGCCCTTATCAACCTGCTCCCCTTGGCCATGCTTTGGGAGGGGTTTGAATTATGGACTCACAGAATCATTTAGGTTGGAAAAACCCTTTAAGATCATCGAATCCAACCATTAACCCAACACCTTGTTCATCACTAAACCATATCCCCGCATACCACATCCAGATGCTTTTTGAACACTTCCAGAGGCGGTGATTCCCTGGGCAGCCTCTTCCTATGCCTGACCACTGTTTCTGTGGTGAATTTTTTCCTGCTGAAGACAGCTCCAGCACTGCCTCAGCAACTCTGTCAATCTTTGTTTGGTCAGGTAATTTATCTAACATCACCAGATATGTAAAGAAAGGGTTGTGGATCCTCTGTGATACAGGAAGAGGCCCCACTCCTCTAGTGGTCTTCCAGCCTCTTCAGCTCTGCCGATACATGGCTGTGGTGTGCAGGATCCCAACTCCAACCTCCCCTGGAGAGATGGATGCATGTCCTGCCACCAGCACAGACTCTGGTCCTGCCATGCTGTGAACACAGGCAGCAGGTTGTGTCATTCCAGCTGGGATACTCCTCCTGCCACACTGGAGCCTCCCGGCAACGTGGCTCCGACTCCCTCCCCACACACATGCAGTGGCAGGCTCATTGCAAGGTTTTAGGCTGCTGTCCACTGAGCAACTCAGGAATTGTTTTCTTTTTCTCTTCCTGCTCCAAGGCCCATTGGAGCCTGGAAATACCCCCAAAACACCCCAGTAAGGTTCTAGAAGTATGGAGGGAGCCCAGCTCAGATATATCATGTCAGTAACTTGTATTAAATTAAACCAGAGAAAGGATTGATCTGAATCATGAGCACAGCCGGAGGTGTGGAAGGGAGAGGAGTGTTCTCAGAAAGGCAGGTCAGCTGAGAAACAAGGGCACGTGCAAGCAAGGAGGAAAAGGGGCTCTGATGCCACTGAAGTGCAGGGAGTGCCTGGCTGGAGCAGAGGTCAGTCCTGGACAGCTGCTCTGGGCTTCAGGGAGAGGGTCAGGAGTGACTCTGGCCCTCATCAGAGAAGTGGGCTAATGCTGTATTGACACAGCAAAGACAGCATGGATGGAAGAGAACAAGACCTCTAGGCTGGGGGAAGAGGAAACGTAGAGGTAATTAAGTCCTATAAAAGAACATCCAAAAAATCCAGATCCATCTTAAGTGAGGGCAAAGGGGGTTAACTGCAGTCATTAAGGGGAATACTCATGAGAAAATCAGGGAACTTTGGCCTGTTTTGATCTCGTTTCTGCTCATACCAGAGTTTAAATCATCAAGCGTGAATGGGATCTGCTTCCCTGCCATCCCTGGGTACAACAGCCTTGTACCAAGGTCAGCAGTAGAGAGAGCTGGGCTACATAAGGGGAAACTGAGGTATGGCAAGGGGGTGGTACAAACATGGGTCATTCTCCACCTCCTGTGAACAAGCCTGTCCATGAGGTCATGGTGTTCAGGGGTTGGTAGAAGCAGCTCCCTTACACTTGCTCTCCTTCTCTCTCAAAATAAAGAGGATGACAGGGGGACTGGACCAGCCCAGTGCTCCCACATCTTTGGGATAATTTATGATGATCCTTCCCTGCAGAGCCTTGCACCCTGCCAAGGTCCCTTCTGCATAGTCAAGGGCCACTGTGCTGTAGCTTCTCCCAGCTTATGGCAGGGGAGATCTCACACTGCTATTGTCTTGTGCATGATGGTTGGGAGACATGAGTAAAAATAGTATTCAGCTGTGACACCAGAGAGCAAGGAACCAGAACATTCAACCATGGTGTGCAAGTTTAGAGCTGGCTTCCCGCCAAGCCCCCGAAACTCGACAACAAGGA